ACACCTCCCCCCTCACCCCCATCCCAGGCCCCAAGAAGACTTTCCACATCAAGCAGATGTTCACCTGGGGAAACCAAACAGAGGCTTGGGGACCGCTTTGCAGAACACCTACCCTCCATTCGCACTAAACAACTCCACCTCCCAGTCGCGAACCATTTCAACTCCCCCTCCCATTCTTTGGACGACATGGCCATCCTGGGCCTCCTGCAGTGCCACAACGATGCCACCCGAAGGTTGCAGGAACAGCACCTCATATTTCGCTTGGGAACCCTGCAGCCCAATGGTATCAATGTGGACTTCAGAAGCTTCAAAATCTCCCCTCCCCCTACCGCATCCCAAAACCAGCCCAGCTCGTCCCCGCCTCCCTGACCTGTTCTTCCTCCCAGCTCAAGCCCCACCCCCATCTCCTACCTACTAACCTCATCCCGCCCCCTTGACCTGTCTGTCCTCCCTGGACTGACCTATCACCTCCCTAACTCCCCACCTACATTCACCTTTACTGGCTCCATCCCTGCTTCTTTGACCTGTCTGTCTCCTCTCCACCTATCTTCTCCTCTATCCATCTTCTATCCGCCTTCCCCTCCCCCATTTCTGAAGAAGGGTCTAGGCCCGAAATGTCACCCTTCCTGCTCCTCTGATGCTGCTTGGCCTGCTGTGTTCATCCAGCTCTACACCTTGTTATCTCAGATTCTCCAGCATCTGCAGTTCCTACTATCTCATTTAAGGTTCTATGCTCCTGTGCTGAAACAGCACCCTATGCAAAACCCATCCAGGAAGGCAAAGAATAACACTAGATTTCTCCTCCATGCAAACCCTTCTCTTGAATCGCCCTTTTCCTGCCATCTCCATCCTCATTTCTAATGGTGAATGCAAAGAATTCAAACTGTTTTGTTCTAAAAATTCTCTGCTGTTTCTTCTGTTGTCTTTGATTCACTGGACTAATTGCCCGTGGCCCCCTCACTGCCCTCTTCCCCAGAATTTCTTTCAAGTTTTTCTTCCAGCTTCATTTCTGCTCCTTCTGAATTCATCGTGCTAATGGGACTGATGTGTTATAGTCTAGATCTTATTCCTACCAAACTGTGATGATTGAACTTCCCTGTCTCGCATCTTCGTTAGGTGTTACTAGTTTTTCCTTTCACCTTGGGTGTTGTTCTCTTTCAAATCTACCATTATCATGCTTTCTTCAGAAAAAAAATCCTTGACATTGTGCTATCTATCTTGGTGAGAAATGGGGTATGTGAAAGAATTGTAAATAGTTCATTATGAAGGTGTCTATTGTTTATGGCTATGCATTAGGTTGTTTTTGGAAAATCTGGCTTTGGTCTGTGACCATTTTTAAAAAAAAAAAATAAATAAATAAATAAATTTGCTTTCTTCATTTGAATTATTCTGTCTTCTTATATTTTACCTGTGGAATAACTGTTTGAGGGTATATTTTTAGTTATATGCTGTTGTTTAATTAACAGTTCATTACACATGCCTTCCTGACTCTACAGAATTTTGTCATGCAGGTTTTGTACATTGATAATAAATGTGCTCTTGCTTGTTACACCTGTTAACTAATGTATTTTTTATTTTTTAAATTATTCTTTAATCTTGAAGGATATAAGAAAAGGAACTCGTGTATCAGATATTAGGAAAATTGGACCACTGAGAATGGCAGAATTAAATGGATTGACACCATTTCAAAAGCCTTTACCTGATGTTATTAAAGATGAGCCAATCAAGACATCATATGATGAAAGAGTATGATTTAATATCATTTACGTTATTTATAGATATGCAGTGCTGGATTGTTAGCAGATTGAACTGTTGAAGTTCTGATGTTTGTTGAAACTCTTGATACCAGCAATAACAGTTGAATTAGTAAAATGTTAATTGTGTGATCTACTATATTAGAGATTACTCATGCCCTCAGATACAACAGAATGGAATTTCACGTTTCTGCAGAGAATTTGCCAGAGTTCCTAGTTCCTATTCATACTTCATGTTGGAACTGTGTATCTGTGAATAGACAGGTGAAACATGGAAGCCTTGGGGGTGCTTATTAACCCTCATGAAATGGTAACACACAATGGTTCAGCTTTAGGAATTTTTTTAAAGTAAAATTCATTAAGGTTATTTTACTTGCAGATATTTCAAGTACACTTTCATAGTAAAAATACCATTGTAAGTGAATATTTAAAAGGCCTTTCTCATGTACATTTCAACAAAAGCATATATAAGTATCCACTAATAAAAATTCTGTGACAATATTTTGAAGAGCGTACCTTTCCTGGATAGCTACATTCTGTCCTGACTTAGAACTATATTGCCACCCCTTCAACTGTCATGATGCTAATATCTGAAATTCCCTTCCTAACAAAACTGAACATTGCAGTGGCTCAAGAGACAACTCACCACCAGCTCAAGGGCAATTAGGCATGGACAATAAATATTGGCCTAGCCTGAGATGGCTATATGCCATGAATGAGTGAAAGAAGTGCAGTTACCTTTTTCTCCTTGTGCCTCATCCAAGCATACTGAAGCCATACTATGCTTCTACTGCCTTATTGCCAGTGGTTTGCTAAATAGTTGTCAGTATTTAAGCTTTAATTTCCACTGAGCCATCAGGTAGCCATGTCTGGTTAATTTCATTGTACAAATAACTACTGACAAAATTGATAAAGGGCAAATATTGTTGCTAACAATTATAAAATGTGAGGGGAAAAGAGTTTTAATGATGAAATGTACTTCCGAACTCTCAAATGATTTCAGATTCTTTCCATATACAAACAAAAAGAACTGCGGATGCTGGAAATCAGAAGCAAAAACAGAAATTGCTGGAAAAGCTCAGGATTGGGAACTTTCTCTCCACAGATGCTGCCAGACCTGCTGAGCTTTTCCAGCATTTCTGTTTTCGTTTCAAAATCTTTCCAGTTACTTTCATGTGAAGGCTTTTTGGCTTAAAAGTTTATTTTTCAGAATTTAAAGCGAAGTTGTGTTTTAGTAAGGTTTTTTTAACGGAAGAAACTAATAGTTTCTTTAAATCTTTATATTTGTAATTTAGTGAGAGCCATGCCTTAGCTTTAGGTTATTGAAATGTTTACCATATCAAAAATAAGGCTCAGGATGCACCTAGTTTATAACTTTTATTCTTGGATTTTTTAAAAATTTATTCTGACGAAAAGTCCCTTCTGTACGATTCAAAATAGAAGTTGCACCAAACTCAAATTTCTAGAAAATGATATTTGTTTGCAGTTTGCCTCTTATGCCAGTGTGATAGAGGGCTGTCATGGCCTAAATAGAAAGCTGACTATTTTTTTAAGAAGAGTGAATGTAAGAAACAATGCTAATTAGCTAACTGGATGAAATAGCTTGACTAAATTGGTCTGTCTTTTTTAAAATAAAAAAACTGAACTAACCAATAGTATTGTAATTATTACAGCTTCCTTGAGTTTTTTTAGAGACCTCCATACATCTCAATTCCTCATTGGTTGCTGTGAATGTTAGTAATCCTGGTAGAGACAAGAAAATTAGCAAAGAAAAAAATTCTTCCAAATTGCTTAAAGCAAAATGAAAAAAGGTGTTTTCAATGGTGATACATACTTTGGAAATCTGTTTACTGCATGACTGCTTCAGCAAGTTCATTCTAAAATAAAATGGCTCTTTTAAATGTGCTTTGTATTTTAGTGCAAAATCTTGGAGCAGCGTCTAGAACAGAAAATGGTGTTTACAGAATATGAAAGAGTTCCAAAGAAAAACCCAACAGCAGAATGTACCATAGCATTGCTACCTGAAAACGCTGAAAGAAATCGATTCGCTGATGTTATTCCCTATGATGATAATAGGGTGGAATTAGTGCCTACAAAAGAGAACAATACTGGTTACATAAATGCATCACATATAAAGGTAGTTAGGTTTGCTTAATAATTGTTTTGGTTTGCAAAAAGTTAAAAGTATGGCAATCCTGAAAATTTCGTTGAATTTAAGTACTTTGCCAACATTTGTCACAAACAATTGTTGTTCACTTGCCCATGGTTGTCAATATCTTCTTTTCATTACAGATAATAGTGGAAGGCAGGGAATGGAATTACATTGCCACACAAGGACCACTCCAGACCACTTGTCTTGATTTTTGGCAAATGGTGTGGGAGCAAGGTGTTGCTATCATTGCCATGGTTACAATAGAAGAGGTACTTCTTAATTTGCTTTAAGCTGTGTATCTCTTGATTTACTATCCATGTTTTCTTTGTACTCATTGAGTTTCTTCTAATAAATAGCCATAAGATGTCAAATTAGAGCAAAACATCTTAAGTGGAAGCTTGATTTCTTTTTCCCTTGATCGTGCCAGAATGCATTCCTCAATCAAGCTTCATCAACTTAACTTTTAATCTTGGACTGAATGGGGTTTGGAATTTTAAAAATGTATTTCTGCATGCTTGCAGTACTCATTAACAAAGTGTTTATACTGCTGACAGTAGTATGAGCTGGATTTCCAGGCTCTTGGGGAGGGGCTAGGAACAAGGTATTTGGGACTCAAATGAAGTTAGTTGATACGCTGTTCTCCCATGCTATTTTTACCACCACCACTTCTTTGCAGAGACCAGGTTTTGGCTGGCAGTGTGCAACTGATTAGGTTTGTTCAGTCTGTTTACAGCTGAAGGAACAAAAATTCATTTTGCCTTCACTTTCTCCAGCAGGTACGCTTTAGGTGCTTGGAAGTGAGCAGCCAATGGCAGCTCTTCAGAGAGCTGTAGAGGTTGTCACTGCCTGCAAGAGCAATTTGTTGTATATGGCATTTCAACCATAATCACCTATAGTACTGGCCTAATTGCACAACCTTTGTTCATCACTGCTAAGTTTAGAAAGGTTAGTGAGAGGAAACTTCCATTTTGAAGCACTGTGTCTTTTGCTGACCGTTGCAGCTTTCCAGCATGAACACCTCTGACCCTGCAGCTTTAAGACCTGTCCACCATCCTTAATTAAATAAGGAATTTGTCTCCATGCCATGCTAAAAGGGGATCTCTGTGAAATTGCACTGAAACCCTATTGACCCTTGTGAGCAATCTAAGGGTTCAAAAGCATTCATGATTTCTATTTTCTAGCTCTAAAAGGGAGATGCAATCCCTAAAGAAACTATTTACTTTGTGGAGATAACCTAGGAGTAGTTTTTGTTCTGTTCTGTTGTGCTACTTTTGTGTAGCTGGCAGGCTAGTATTTATTGTCTATCTCTAGTTGCCCTTGAGAAGGAGGTAGTGAGCTCCTTTCTTGAACCGCCGCAGTCGATGTAGATCCACAATGCCGTTGGGGAGGGGCTTCCAGGATTTCTACTGTGACAAGGAAGGAACAGCGATTATATTTCTAAGTCCGGATGGTGAGTGGCTTGGAAGGCACCTTGCACGTGGTGGTATCTGCTGTCCTTGACCTTTCTGGATGGAAGTAGTTGTATGTTGGAAGGATCTTCGGCAAACGTCTGCAGTGCATTTTGTAGATAGTACATATCAGTGGTTGAGGGAGTGGGTACTTTGGTGCCAGTCAGTTCAGCTGCCATGTTCTGGATGGTGTCAAGCATCTTGAGTGTTGTTGGAGTTATGCCTTAGGCAAATGGGGAGTTACGTCACACTCTTGACTTGTGCCTTGGAGATGGTGGACAGGATCCAGAGAGTCAGGAGATGAGTATTCTCACTACAGTATTTCTAACTTCAGACCTGCTGTTGTAGCCACTGTATTTATGTGGTGAGTCCAGTTGAGTTTCTGGTCAATGGTAACCTCCCAGGATGTTGATAGGGGGGGATTCAGTGATGGTAACATCATTGAATGTCAAGGGGCGGTGGTTAAATTTTCTTTTATTGGTGCTGGTCATAGCCTTGCATTTGTGTGAAGCAAATGTTATTTGTCAGTTGTCAGCCCAAGCCTGGATATTGTCCAGGTCTTGAATATGGCTGCTTCATTATACAAGAACTTGCGAATGGTATTGAATATTGTGCAATCATTGGTGAACATCTCCACTTCTGACCTTGAAAGGGAAGGTCATTGTTGAAGCACCTGACTGTAATTGGGCCAAGAACACTACGTTGAGGGATATCCTGAAGCTGAGGTGACTGACTTCCAACAATGACAGCCATCTTCCTATGTGCCAAGTATGACTTTAACCAAAGGAAAGTCTGCCTGCTAGTGTTTCTTGATGATCTACACAGTCTAATATGTCTTTGATGTTGAGGGCTGTCACTCTCACCTCAACTCTGGATTCCAGCTCTTTTGTCCATGTTTGAACCAAGGCTATCATGAGGCCAGGAGCAGAGTGGTCCTGGCAGAACCCAAACTGGGTGTCACTGAGTGGGTTATTGCTGGACCGGTTGTTGCTTGATAGCATTGTTGATGACGCCTTCCGTCACTTTACTGATGATTGAGAGTAGACTGATGGGGCAGTAATTGGCCGGGTTGGATTTGTCCTGCTTTTTGTGCACGGGACATTCCTGAGCAATTTTCCACATTATCTGGTAGATGCCAGTGTTTTAACTGTACTGGATAACTTAGCTAGAAGAATGGCAAGTACTGGAGCACAAGGCTTCAGTACTATTGGTAGAATGTTGTCAGGGCCCATAACCTTTTGTAGTGTACAAGCCGTTTCCTGATATCGCACGGAGTGGAAACTGGCATCAGTAATGCTGGGAACCACTGGAAGAAGCCGAGATGGATCATTCACTGGGCAGTTCTGGCTGAGGATTGTTGCAAATGCTTCAGCCTAATTTTTGCACTGATGTTCTGGACTGTTCTGTCATTGAGGATGCATACGTTTATGGAGCTGCCTCCACCAGTGAGATGTTTAATTGTCTACCACCATTTAGTTTAGAACTGATCCTTTGGTTGTGGGATTGCTTAACTCTGTCTGTCATTTGCGTGATAAACATCATAAGCAGCAAGTAAACCTGTTGGGTAACATCACCAGGTTAACACTTCATTTCTAGGTATGCCTGGTGGGCACCAAACCTGGGGATCAATCCTGGTTCAGTGAATGAATGGGGAATAGGCCAGGCCTCAAGGTTGCAGATTGTTTTGGAGTATGATTCTGCTGCTGTTGATGGCCCACACTGCCTCATGGATACCATGTCTTGAATTGCTATATGTCTTTGCAGTCTGGCCCAGTTAGCATGCCAACAATACCACACAGCATAATGGAAGGCTCTTCTCTGTGAAGGCAGGAGGTTGTCTCCATGAGGACTGTCTGGTGGTCACTCTTACAAAATACTGTATTAGACTGCTGCACCTGCAGCAGGCAGTCTAGTAAGGATGAGGTCAAATATGCCCCCCCACCTTGTTGATACTCTCTCCACCTGCTGCAGGCCCAGTCTAGCACCTATGCCCTTTGGACCTGACCGGTAGTGCTGCTGCTGAGCAACTCTTGCTTATGAAGATTGAAATCCCCCACCCACAGTATATTTTGTGTATTTTGTGCGTCCTCCAAGTGTCCTCCCACATGGAGGAGTCCTGATTCATCAGTTGAGGGAGGCGAATACATGGTAATCTCATTTTACTTCTCAAAAGCGTTTAGGAAATTTGTACATCCTTTTTATTGATCAGTTAGTACTTGCACCCATTAAAGAAAGTTATATTCTGTAAAGTGGCTCCCAAATTTTGTTCACAATACAATTACTTGGAGTATGCATCCCAGTTGCAGAATTTGATGTCAAGTGTTAATCAAGTTTTTTTTTATATTGAATAACATTTACAGGAAGGAGGGAGAGAGAAGAGTTTTCGGTATTGGCCTCGATTAGGTTCCAGGAATAACTCTGTCACCTATGGAAGATTCAAAATTACTACACGATTTCGAACAGACTCGGGTTGTTATGCAACTACAGGGTTGAAAATCAAACATCTATTGAATGGGCAAGAGAGAACAGTGTGGCACTTGCAGTATACAGACTGGCCAGAAAATGGCTGTCCAGATGATATCAAAGGATTCCGATGTGAGTTTTATTGAATTCTGATTGACAACACTTGTCATCTTAAGTTTAAAACAATGTTTATACTGAAGCATTTTGGCTGTATTGCATAAATGGTTCTTCTTATTAATTATCTCATTGCTTTTACAGCATATTTGGATGAAATTGAGTCAGTGCGTCGTCATACCAATAGTACAGCAGACAGTAAACATCCAGATATGCCTTTGCTTATACACTGTAGTGCCGGTGTAGGAAGGACTGGTGTTGTGATTTTATCGGAAATTATGATTGGCTGTCTGGAGCACAATGCGGTAAGATTATCCTATTTTTTTTAAACTAGCTACATCATCTGATTCTGATAAGTTCAAACAACTTCTGCACAAGTGATAAACCAACAGATCTGTGTTTATTTGCTTTGTGCCCTTCTCCCGCACTTCAAGTGGAGTCGGACCGGGGTGGACATAGTTAGAAGTCCCACGTTCACCTGACGAAGGAGCAGTGCTTCGAAAGCTTGTGATTTCAAAAGCACTTGTTGGACTATAACCTGGTGTTGTGTGACTTCCGACTTTGCCCATCACTTAAGTGACTTCTGCAATTTACAAATCTGAAGGCACAGTTTCTGAACCTGCAGAGCACTGAAAAATTTGTGACCAGCTCATCTGTAATTTCATTACCTTTTTTTTCCTAGTTCCTGGGATGGAGGACATCATGCCCCAGAGATTTGTTGGCTCTGAGTGCTTTTATTTCACTATGTATTTATACATTTTGAATCTGTGAATTTCTCCCCTTTTGACTTAATTTTCACTCCCTTTGTAACTTCTAGTATTTTGTGTCTCTTTTCAAGATGAACTTAGATCCAAAGTAATCATTCAACAGGGCTATCATTTCTTCACCACCCATAAGAATCTTGCCTGTTTCTGTCCAAAGACCACAATTCCCCTCTACCGTTCTTTCATTTAATGTATTTATGAAAAGTACCATTATCAGTTTGATGTCTCTTGAAGCTTTTTTTCTAAATGTTCTTCCTTTTGTATTTTTTTGTATCTCATTATTGATTTTCCTTATAGCTGTTGCTGTTGGCTGAATTCCACTTCTTTTTGCATGTTTTTATAAGCCTTTTAATTTGACCTTGACTGCTACCTTATTGTTTAACTGCACATGTGCTATTAATCTTTAGGTTTGCCCAACAGCAGTTCAGCCTAGTTTACTGCAGTCAGTTTATGGCTCATCCCTAAAATTTACCTTTATTTAAAGTTATAATCTGAGTTTGTAAATCTTACTTCTCTTTTTCCAAACAGCGCATCAGAATAAATCCTACTATGTTGATAAATTAACTAATTCATGTTCATTGCTTATCCTGTTGTACATGTGTAATATGGCCATTCCCTCCTCTTAGTTCTCAATTTTGCTAATCGAGTTCAGCTTCTTGCACTCTAAAATTAAAATCTCCCCATTATAGCTGCATTATTGTTGATACATTTTCCTGTAAAATATGTATTTGTATATGCACCTGTTGTACCCAAAAAAAATCACTTATTTTGTCTAGCTTTAATATATAAAACGCCCCAAGATGCTTCACAGGACTATTTCAAAATAAAACGTAGCAACACTGAAGTTTCTGCAAATGTCTATCTCCAAGATCTTGTCATGATTTCATATGACAGACAACATTATTCCTGTTTTTTTGTTTCCTCAGGGCAGGACTTACACACTTAGCAGTAGTGTCCTTGGAAGTGTGCTGAATGAAAAGACTTAGTGGTTCAGGTTCATAATTCCTTGAAGGTGGAGTTACCAGTAGACAGGGTAGTGAAGAAGGCGTTTGGCACACTGGTCAGTGCATTAAGTAATGGAGTTGGTAGCTGTTGGACATTGGTTAGGCCACTTTTGGAATACTCTGTTCACTTCTGGTCTCCCTGCTATAGGAAAGATGTTGTTAAACTTTAGAGGGTGCAGAAAAGTTTTACAAGGATATTGCTGAGGTTAGAGGGCTTGAGCTGCAGGGAGAGCCTGAATAGACTGGGGCTATTTTCCCTGGAGCATCAGAGTCTGGGAGGTGACCTTTATAGGAGCTTACAAAATCATGAAGGGCACGGATAGGGTGAATAGCCAAGGTCTTTTTCCCAGGGTAAGATTGTCCTAAACTAGAGGGCATAGGTTTAAGGTGAGAGGGGTAAGATTTAAAAGGGACCTGAGAGAGGCAGCTTTTTCTCAGAGGATGGTGCGTGTATGGAATGAGTTGCCAGAGGAAGTAGTGAAAGCTACTTCAATTGCAACATTTTAAAAGGCATCTGGATGGATACATGAATAGAAATGGTTTAGAGGGATATGCCAAATATAGGCAAATGAGATTAGATTAATTTAGGATATCTTGTCAGCCTGGATGAGTTGGACCAAAGCATCTGTTTCTGTACTGTACAGTTCTATAACTCTATGACATATGGGGGTATTGTGTAAGGTTTGAGTAAAAAACTATCCGACGATTGGAAATTTATGTCACTATGGATTTGTACAAGAAGAGTATATAAATTTACCAGAGAGCTTCAAATGTCTTGTCTTCTCTCCGTCATGTTGAACTGCGATTCACTGAGTTATCTAGTATTGTCTTTGCTTGCAAAAGAAGCCATTGTCGTCTTGTCTACTTGATGTAACTACACAGAGCATTCCAGATAGATACCCCTTCATCAAGTCTAACTTTCATTTTGATTTAGCTTTTCTCAGAGTGAAAAGGACCATTTGTGACAGTATGTACTGCCAAACAATGCATTGGATCAAACAGCATGGTTTGATACATCTGAGTAAAAACTGATGGACCATATCAACTGTAAAATGTCTGAATGTCATGTTCTCCAAAAGCTATCATCGTGTCACAGTCATTTTGCATTTCAGTATGTTCATTTGGCTTTGATGGCATCTGTTAAAAATAGTTCTGCAAACTGTTTCAGCTCATCATTGTGCTTACTGAAATATGTAAATCTGTGCTTCAGTTCTTCTCCCAAGCTACCAATCAATGTGGTGCTGTTTATGGTTGACTGAGCATGACTTACTGAAAAGAGTTGTGAAGTGGTCAGTTTTCTTCCTGATCAGCTGTTTCTGTAGCATACCTAATTTCTGAATGAACACTCGTACACTTTTTTGACTGATTCTTCCGTTGCATTTTCAAATACAAGTTTGAAAGAAACTTGGTGATGTCAACTATTAATGCCAGATTATTCAACCATTCATTATCATCCATGAAGCTCACCTTTTCTTTTGTTTGCCATTAAAGTTTTAATCTCCATGTAGTGTCCAGAAACAATCTAGTATGACTGCTGTACTGAGCAAGCAAACTTGGCTAAAGTAATGTCATGAGATAGTAGGAACTGCAGATGCTGGAGAATCTGAGATAACAAGGTGTAGAGCTGGATGAACACAGCAGGCCAAGCTGAAGACCCATTTTCTGAAGAAGGGTCTAGGCCTGAAACGTCAGCCTTCCTGCTCCTCTGATGCTGCTTGGCCTGCTGTGTTTATCCAGCTGTACACCTTGTTATCTCTAAAGTAATGTCATGCTGTGATCCTACCTCTGAGAGGAAGAATTGGAATTATCTGATTCAGCCCCACAGACTTTCTGAAATGAACTTTCAAAACAACCCTTTCCATCACATGCTTTATCTACAGGATCTTTGCACAGAGATGTTCTTGGTGGCTGATGTAGTAATATATGATGACATCTTGAAGTAATGATTTGAGCATTAGACTAAGAAATCTGTTTGGCACACCTTGTAAATGCTGGGGTTTAATTATTCAACAGACCCACCAAGTTTGTCCTCAGATTGAATTTCATCAGGACTTCTTTGAAAATGTCTTGCCACTTTGTTGTGCCTCTTATGGGCAAAGGTAAAGCAACTTCTTAGTAATGTCAATTTTTAAAATTTTATTTGAGACAGCATTTATTGCCCAGCCCTAGTTGCCCTTAAGAAGGAGGTGATAAGCTGCCTCTTTGAATCAGTGCAGACCATTTGGTGTAAAATACCCACAATGCCATTAGGGAGGAAGTTCTAGGATCTTGACATCGTCATACAGAAGGGACAAAAATATAGTTCAATGTCAGGAAGGACTTTGGTGAGAAAGCAGTGGTTGAAGCTAGGATGGTTGTTTGAAATACTGGGGTAAAACTTGCTTCTTTGAGGAAAGAGATGATGATAGCAAACAGCTGTTGCCAACAGAGTCATAGAAACATACAGCATGGAAACCGACTCTTTGGTTCAACTCATCCATGCTGACCAGATATCCTAAATTAATCTTGTCCCATTTGCCAACATTTGGCCCCTATCCTTTTAAACTATTTCTTTTGATGTACCCATCCAGATGCATTTTAAATGTTTTAAATGCCTCCACCACTTCTGGCAGCTCATTCCGTACACACACTACCCTCTGCATGAAAAAGTTCCCCCTTGGGTCTCATTTAAATCTTTTCCCCTCTCATCATAAACCTATGCCCTCTAGTTTTGGACTCCCCTACCCTAGGAAAAAGACCTTGGCCATTCACACTATCAATGCCCCTCATGATTTCATAAGTCTCTAGAAGGTCACCCCTCAGCCTCGTGACCTCCGCTCCAGGGAAAATAGCCCCAGCCTATTCAGCCTCTCCCTATAGCTCAAACACTCCAACCCCAGCAACATCCTTGCAAATCTTTTGTGCAATCTCAAGCTTAACAACCTCTTTGCTATAGCAGGGAGGCCAGAAGTGAATGGAGTATTCTAAATGTGGCCTAATTTATGTCCTGTACAGCCGTAACATGCCATTCTAACTCCCAAATGCTATTCTGTCTACCGCTTTCAAGGAACTATGCACTTTCACTCCTAGTCTCTTTATTCAGCAACACTCCCCAGGACCTTACCATTAAGTGTATAAGGCCTGCCCTGGTTTGCCTTTCCAAAGTACAGCACCTCGTATTTATCTGAATTAAACTCAATCTGCCACTCCTTGACCCATTGGCCCAGCTGATCAAGATCCCATTGTACTCTAAAATAAATTTCTTCAGTGTCCAGTGCACCATCAATTTTGGTATCATCTGCAAACTTACTAATCATACCTCCTATATTCACATCCAATTCATTCACGTAAATGATGATAAACAGTGGATCCACTATCAATTCTTGTGGCACACTGCTGGTCACAGACCTCCTACCTTCGAGCCTGTTTTATATACAATTGGCAAGCTCTCCCCTGGATTCCTTATGATCCAACCGTAACTTACCAGTCTACCATTTTGGAACCTTATCGAACACTTTGCTGAAGTCCATGTAAACAACGTCTTCTGCTCTGCCTTCATTAATCTTCTCAGTCAGTTCTTCAAAAAACTCAAATCAGGTTAGTGAGATACAATTTCATGCACAAAGCCATGTTGACTATCCCTATTCTGTCCTTGCCACTCTAAATGCATGTAAATTCTGTCCCTCAGAATCTCCTCCAACAACTTGCTCTCCACTGACGTCAGACTCACTGGTGTATAATTCCCTAACTTTTCCTTACAGCCTTTAGTGGCACCGATTTGCCAACCTCAAGTCTTCCAGCACCTCGCCCGTGGCTGTCAGTGATACAAATATCTCTGCAAGGGGCCTAGCAATCTCTTCCCTAGCTTCACACAAAGTTCTGAGAAATACTTGATCAAGTCCTGGGGATTTATCTACCTTTATGCGTTTTAAGACCTGCAGCACCACCTGTTCTGTAATATGAACTCTTTTCAAGACATCACTGTGTATTTCTCCAGATTCTCTAGCTTTCATGTATGATATAGTAAATGTCTAAATATTTTCTTTATTTTTTTTTATTCCAGACTCTGGACATTACAACCATGCTGAATCTGCTCAGACAGCAACGAATGTTAATGGTGCAAACGATTACACAATATATCTTTGTCTACAAAGTGCTCATTCACTTTCTGAGAAGTTCTAGGCTGATTTAACCTTGCATTCATTATGCTATGACTTTTCAACCAAACAGCTGATTGCAAAATTGTTTTAAATGAAAGAAACGTTTTTCTAATGCCTTGAGTGGAGGAGGAGAAAGAATCATTTTGCATAAAAACATGCGAAGCACACGAGAAGCACCAAATTAAGGACGAAGTTAAATGTTACCCTGTATTCTGTTACCCCTGATATTTTTAACAGTTTTAAAACTGGTCTTGCGCTTCACATGGCAGGACATTTTATGAAGAAAATAGTTCATTTGACTAATACAAAGTAAGTGAAACCTATCTTAGTGCAGTTTTTTCATTTAAATTCGGGTGCAAATTAAAGTTAAGTAAATTTTAACCATTTCCTCCATCTGAACATTATTGAAAACACGAATATCTTGGGATAAACATTATGAAACTCTATTTGGTGCATGATCGGTTTTAAGCTATAGTGGAAGTATTTTACCTTGAAGAGGAATGTGATGATGGCTGCTATATTTCAATAGCAGGAGAAAATGAAAATATGCAAGCCGAACGAATGAATGTGAGATTGAACTGGTGCAAATGAAAGTTTTGTTAAAATTAATATTTATAGATCAGAAATTTGTGTGTAAATAGGTGAAAAATCCTTTTTTTAGGCTTATGATGTACCATGGTTTACAGAAGTAATGAAAGTACATGTAATGATATGAAATAAACTAATCCTGTTTATTTTTCAATAGACATGTTCAGTTAGGCATGACTGTCAATTTTTGTAAAAAAAAAATGGTGTGTATAGTTTAATTAAACTCAATTTTAATTATTGAAACTTAAAAGTTATGTGATTACTAAAAACAATGTAAGCTTATTTAGTTGAATTATCTACTTTAATTGTTAGACCTGTTCTTATATTTGAATTGCTTTTAGCTTAGGTTTAAATTTGAGTATTTTAGCACTGATAACTATTTGATGTAATTGAGTGAGTCTGCACACAACTGGTTTTTGTGTGACCTTCACTCTAAAATACTTTAATGTAATATAATTTTGCAGTAAAACACTTCAACCATAATCTATGAATTGGAAAACTGCTGCTAAGTGACTTGAGTTTACAAAGTGTAAAAGAGAGGGATTTCAGCTCAGTGTCCGTAATGTTTCTTCTAGCGGTTACCTGGAAGCATTTTTATTAATCTTCCCAACTCTCTTTATTGATTTCCATTTGAGTCAGTAATTATGAGAAAATTAGTTATGATGAATGGTTGTTTGTTTCCTTTACAGGGTAGCATATTCAGCCACGCAAGTATGAAGGACAATCTGTAAAACGTTTTTGTGTATATATAAATTATGTAGATCACATCATATTCTTAAATGAAATGTACAGGGCTTTACTTCGTGAAGATTATCTGAGTGTGTGGTTTTGTACATTAAAGTCAATATACTGTATTCTTTCTTGGTGTTCTCTTTACATCAGATGGAATATGACTTGTACATTGTGTTTACAAATGTTGCTTTAAAATGTTTTATAACTTTGAATTCTGTCACTTTGAGTAATACTCAAAGTTTTGACATTGTAGAGTATACTGTTGGAACCCACCCATCTGTTACATGTGTGAAAGGCATCTCTGCAGAGATGGTGAAATATTTTTGCTTTCTGAAAAATAAGTAAACTGTTTTGTAACTGCTGATTCAAATATAAATACCACTGTGTAGTATAAATAAATTGTTGCATAATTTGGCTGAAGTATCTTTTCAGAATGTGGCCTTTCTTGTAAAGTTTCATAAATAAGCAAAACTTTAGTTTTAACATTTTCCTGTTTGCATTTGCCTTCTTGACAAAATTTGTTTGTGCCAGTATATACGTAAAGACCCTTGGTAAAATACTTTTTTATAACACAAACTTTCAACTTGGAATAAATGGTACAGTCATTCCAGAGCTTGGAAGCTTGATTGTCTCAATTTTGAAAATCACCCTCCAAAATACACTGCAGAATCTCAGAATTGTCAAGTTCAGCCTCTTGAGCCTGCTCTATCATTCAACAGGACCATGGCTGATCTGACATTCCTCAAGTCCACTTTGCTGCCCTTTTCCTGTAATGCTTGATTTTCCCTCTACTGATCAAAAAGACCAAGGCCATTCAACACGTCATGCCTGCACCAGCTGTTCAAATGAGCTTTTTGCCCAAGTGCCATTCTCCTTCCTTTCCCTATAAGCCCTGCACAGTTTCTATTCAAATAATCATCTAATGCCTTCTTAAATGCCTGCCTTTACCACACTTCCAGGGAATGCATTCCAGAGCCTAATTACTTACTCTGAAAAATAAATTGCTGCTTTTGCAATTTACTTTAAATCTTTGCCTGCTCATTCTTGATCCTTTTGAAAGTTGCAAATTACAGGACTTCTTTTAAATTTTTTAAAGGTTTATCATACATGTGATCTTACATAAATAAGCCATGAACGTTCTCCTAAATTTTTAAGAAAATTGCCTCAGCAGAAATTGAAAAGGTATAAAAACAGAAGTTGCTGAAAAAGCTCAGCAGATCTGGCAGCATCCAGTGTGCTCAAGTGGCATGCAACTAGAAGCTCAGGGCCTTTTTTGCAAGCAGAACGTAGATGTTCTGTGAAGCAGTCACCAAGTCTATGCTTCGTCTCCTCAATGTAGAGGAGACCACATTGTGTGCAGCAAATGCTGTAGACTAGATTCTGGTGAAGTGTTGCTTCACTTGGAAGGTATGTTTGGGTCCTTGGATACCAGGGGGAGGGGAGTGAGGAGGTAAATGGGCAGGTATTACACCTTCGCTGGTTGCGTGGGGAGGTGTTGGGGGTGAAGGAGGAGTGAACAAAGGTGTCCTGGAGGGAACGGCCCCTACAGAAGGTGGACAAGGGAGGGCAGGGAATATGTGTCTAGTGGTGACATCTTGTTAGAGGTGGCAGAAATGGCATCTGATGATCTTCTGGATGTGGATGCTGGTGGGATGGTCGGTAAGGACAAGGAGAGCCCTATCGCTGTTGCAGGAAGGAAGAGGGAGTGAGGGCAGAAGTGCAGAAGATGGATTGGACCGGGTTGAGGGCCCTGTCGACAACAGAGCTGGGGAATCCTCAGTTGAGGAAGAAGTTGGACAATTTGGAGGCTCCCTTGTCGAAGTTGGCTTCATCTGAACATACGACGAAGAATGAGGAACTAAGAGAATGGGATCGAGTCTTTACAGGAAGCAGGGTGCAAGGATGTATAGTCCAGGTAGCTGTGGGAGTCAGTGGGTTTATCGTGGATATTAGTGGCCAGTCTATCCCCAGAAATGAAAACCGATGTCAAGGAGGGAAGGAAGGAGTCAGAGAGACCAGTTGAAAGTGAAGGCGGAGTGGAAATTGGAAGCGAAATTTATGAATTTTTCCAATTTGGGACAAGAGAGGGAAGCAGCACTGATGATATCGGAAAAAGAGTTGTGGGTGGGAGCCAGAATAGGGCTGGAACAAGAAATGTTCCACGTACCCCGTGAAGAGACAGGCATAACTGGGACCCATGCGGATACCTATGGCCACCCCTTTGACCTGAAGAAAATGAGGATTTAAAAGAGAAGTCATTGAGGGTGAGGATGACCTTAGCCAAGCAGATTACAAAAAGTAATCTCTAGATAATTGTAACACCTCATTTTCTGCTTGGGGACTCTGCAGCCCTCTGACTGACTACTGAGTTCAATCATTTTAGGCCCTAAACTCTCCCATGTCATAGCTCCCTACCCCACACACCAGGGCTTGTTATCACATAGCCTACCATCACACACTGACAATTGTTAGTCATTAACAGTGAAATCTGATGAAGGGTCTAGGCCCGAAACGTCAGCCTTTCTGCTCCTATGCTGCTGCTTGGCCTGCTGTGTTCATCCAGCTCTGCACCTTGTTGTCTCTTATTATCAGCTCCGTTGTCTGTCCAACTGCTCTTCTCTCTCTCTATCCTTTTATCCTATCGTTTGCTCCCTACCCCATCCCCCTCCCTATTTTCTGCATATAAACTGACATTTTCCTAGCTACCATCAGTTCTGAGGAACTGAATACAATACTCCAAATGTGGTCTGACCAATGATTTGTAGAGGTATAGTATCGCTTCATGTTCTGAGGGGGTTGGGTCACCAGACCCGACACGTTAACTCTGTTTTCTTAACAGATGCTGCCAGACCTGCTGAGCCTTTCCAGCAAGTTCTGGTTTTGTTCCTGATTTGCAGCATCTGCAGTTCTTTCGGTGCTTATTGAAAAGGTGATGTGCTACTGATGATACTTAGACTTAGAAAAAGCCATTTAGACTGCAAAAAAAAGGAGGATTTGGTTGTTACACATTTTACATTGACCAGAGGAGGACAAATTTTGTTGCAGTTTGCTGACATAGTTGTTTGCTGGGAACTGTCACTTGCTAACTTAATTTTCTTCAGCTAATAGTGAAACAAGACTTGGGCATCTCATATCTGTGTATACAGGCCAGGTAAACATTATTTAAAATATTTCAAACATACAAACATACAAATTGTAACAATTTTTTAAAAACTTAAATCATTAATTACACATTTACTCTTAGTAAAAGTTTGGATTTGGTGGAGAATCCAAAAACATGTAAAATTATATCCAAATTTTTTTCACACAATTGTTGTAATTTGCTTTGTTCACTTTTACTTATTTGGTTTTTCTACCTGTTCATTCTTTGCCCGTACGCTCCTCATTTCTTGTTACCATTAAATTTAATTGATTTATATCTTACACTTTCAGTTATGATTGATAATTTAATAAATGAGCCAATTAGTTGTAATTAATTAATTTTAAGAAAGTGTCATGCTTGATGTTTGACATAGGGATATGAGTATTTCAGATTTAAAAATTCTTGCATTGGATATATATCCCAAAGTCTTTATCCTTTGTAACTATTTCTATGTCAATCTTTAACCTTGAAGATAACTCTCTAAATATGTACATATTTATCACCAATGTATTACCATTTCCTTCAGTACCTGAAATTTCCGATGTTCGAAAATAGTATATTTCACAACACTGTTAAAATTACCCACTAAATTCTCTGTTCGATACATCTTCTTTTAGTAACTTCATTAAGATTGTTACTTCAAGGCCTCAGCATTTCTCAAGTTTAGTCATCCAGACTTTGGCTTTTAATCACATCTGAGCATATACACAATTTGCAGAATTTCTCAGCATGTTTTGTATGCATTAGAGCATTGAATAATAGAAGGGTAGGTCATTTCAGTTTGTATGGCTTTGAAAATTTCTTGGCTTTGTCCAATTTTTTAAAAAAAATTAAAGATAGAATTATCAAAGCTTTATTTTAGGCTATACTCGCATTTTATTTTGTTTAAGTGCTGTTTTCTATAATAAATCATTTAAACTACATGAGGGGAGGGGGAGAAATAGCATTTGTGATTGGGGTTTTCTGTTACTTAAAAATGGATGATTTAAATTAATTTTTAAAAAACCTTATACATGTTTGAATATTTTAATTTGGAAGCTATAAACAGTAAATTTTTAATAAATTTACCAAAGCTATCATATTACTTGTAGGCTGCATAATTTAGCAAATTTTTCATGGTGTGCGAAATTTTCTGCTTCTACTTGTAAAGCATACACCAGTAATGCATGTTAGGAAATATGGATAAGAAACCAAAATTTCATGCTCAAGTACATTTAAACAGAAACATAAACAGGATCTTACTGACACTGAGGAAATCAGTGGAGTAATGCTTTAAGATCAGTATGTGATGTAGGAATATTAATGTGCAGGCATGTAGTGGAGCATTTGAACGCAATGATTTTGAAGAATGGTAGGAGCGGAGATCCAAGACCCATCACTATCATACCGTTAAACTCTGCATCCCTCTAAAATGATGACATGCCCCCAAATTCCAAATTCATCTCTTCAATTCACTTCACTTCTGCAGTACCCTAGGATCACCACCTCTACACAAACTTCTAATTCCTAGAACCTCTAAGTTCCACTCTTGCTGATATAACATTGAACAAAATACCTAGTACTTGCAAATTCTGAGTTCACCCCCACCTGTCTCCTTAACAATGACAAGATCCTAGGATCACTTGCTCAAATAATCCCAGTATCTAGGATATGTTCTTGGTATTCTTCAGCGCAGTATTCAAAATAGTTCTTTACCCCTTGTGATGCACAACGCAAAATAGTCAAATTCTGTGCTTGCCCAATTACTCCCATGTACTAGGGCTCTCCTTTTTAAAACTATAATTCTGAGCCCTGAAAATACAATGACCTGTAAAATCTTCTGCACTCCCCCATCCCACACACATACACACCCACCATCATCACCACCACTAAAAAAGTAATTTACTTGTAAAATAGAGAAGTCTAAACCAAATCACAGGAAATATGATAGCATATATAATGGTAAATCTGATATGCACCATTTCATTTCACTTGTACATTAACCTTATTGTAATCCAATTGAATAAAAAACAACACATTAATCTCAACGTGTAATAATAGAAATTCCTTTTAAATCATGTCAATGTTTGTACATCATGGTTTGTTGATAAGCCAATCAAATCATGTTGACTTGTTTGTTTAAAAAATTGCCGTTTTTGAAACTTTCTATTGTCAAAAATAACAAAATAAAAATGTATATTTCACAATTTAAATGGTTACTTTTTTTGCCATTTAATCCTTTCCTGAAGTTTTTTGAAGCTACAAAAGCTTGGTACAGCCAGGTCAATAAGTTGTGACT